ACTCCCACAGTAGAATACAGCTGTAGTCATCAGATAAATTATGCTAAAATTACTTTCAGCATGGATTTAAAATAACTCATCTAAATACATAAAAGCAAAATATCCAGGGCCAGAAAACCTGGTTTTGCAAAAAAAAAAAAATGTTATAATAGCTGACACGTCAACAGACGCTTGAATGTAGCCAACCATCATTACCACTGGACATGCATGCTCAAATTCTAGTCTTCCATGTTGAGTCTGATAAACAACTGATTCTTATTAAACTAATTAAAAGCTAGTTATAGCAGTCTCAGAAAGAAATCCTGTCCAGTCTCTTTACATGAAACAGCAGCAGCTGATAAAGACTTCAGAAAGGAGACTTAGCTCTAGCACGCATAATGCAAAGAGCAATGGACAGAAGACACAGTCTAAATGCCAAAGTCTAATTTCCTATATTCGTAAGAAGGAAAACACAGATCCCCCCTGCCTTTTCCAACTTGCATGTAAAACATTATTTTGTAAAGAGTACTGAAATAATACAGGCATACTCAGCATAGATCTATACTTACTCAGAAATTAAGCCTAGCTTTTAACATGCTGTTTCCAAAAGAGATTATTTCTAGCAAGCCCAGTCTGCTGTTTTGTAAGATTTACTAAAGCAGTCATAACTGGAACGGTTAACAAACGTAGAAAACATGTGAATAGGTAACTCCAAAAAGTTCAATTCTTCTTCCCCTATAGATCTACAGAAGATAAACAACTGTACCCAATCTTTTATTTAAGTCACATTTCATCTGAGCACAGATTTACAGAGGAAGTGGGCTTGTTTCTGTCTCAGTTCCTGAGGAGGTTTAATAAATTGTTAATCTGTTCCTTCTCAACTTTGTTGAAGGCATCACAGAAGTATCTGACAGTGACAGATAAAAAATAGCAAGCTATTATAGTATCTACTATTCAGTGAGTACTAACACACAGAGACATGTCTTATCATCTGAGTGATACCATACGGCATAGTGTTTCCTGACACATCCATTCAGTGAGACACATGTAAGACAGAAATCAAATATTCTGCACCAATAGCTATAATTCTTCCAAGATTTTCATTATTTCATTATGAAGCAGTGCTCTCAGGAGCACTACACAACATGGTGACACATTTTTACTATCAATAGATGCTCATTTACTAGCATCAAGTCATTCACATTTTAAAAGGTTTTTAAAAACTCCCATCAGTCTTCATTATCACAGATAGTTTCACAAAACTGATGATAAAAGTTATTTTATACAAAGTTCTGAAGGCAACAGTTGATAAATAAAGGCCAAGGAATGATGGTATCTAGCTTTCAATTCCTAATTCTTCCACTGTGCTTCTGTGTGGTCCTGTGAAAGGTAATTTCACTTTGATATTAGCTATGTTGGAAAACATTTAATTATTTTATATGCAAAACTGGCAATCAGGTTTGTTTTTTTTCTCTTCTAAATGCCTAACTAAGGTCACTTATTCAGTGCTTTTAAAACACACATTTTAATTTTAAATTGAACATTTTAAAATGCAAAATAAAAAAAAATGTCAACTCTTTGATATTTTATAACATAAGCAGGTGCAATTGTTGCACTGGGGACAGCTCTAAGTGACATGAGCTTTACCTAGATGAGTCTCTATTTCTGAGCATGACTTTAAATAAATAATTTAAAATGGAACAAAAAGAGACAGGAAAATAGAACAGGCTCACAAGGTGTTCAATAACATAATGTCATATTGAATGATAAGACTGACAAGTCGGAATACAACTCTGAATTTGATCGACATTCTTCAATGCAAACGTGTAACAAAGGGCGAAGAGACAAATGAAGTGGCTGAAACAGGCAGCTAAAAGGAACATTGCAGAAAGGTCTTCAGCTAATGCTGACATGTTAAAATTTATCTCTATAGCCAGGCTCAAAGCCAAGCAGTCTGCCGTAATCACATGAAAATCTTCAACTGGATGAACAGGTTTATGTTCATACTATGGAGTATCTGCCTGAAAGCTCAAAATTTTCTTCAAGTTTCTGTCATATGAAAGACAAAGAATTCCAAAGTATTTCATTTGTAGATGAGAACTGCTGATAAAGAACTCTATCACAGAGGGGCTATGGGAAGTCCCAAATCTGTATCAATTTAAATAAAATTATTCCTTCTAAGTCATTATGTGAGAATGATGAAAAACCCCTGACTGTAATGGCACTCACTTTTATAGATTTAAAAAACTTCTCCATAGAAGTTAATTCTTATCATAAATTTAGCTATTTTTTCATTGGACATGCTCCTGTCCAGGAGGTCCACACCCCATCTTGCGCTACTCTTCCACCGTGCAAGAAAACATGCCTCCCTGGTAAGCTGTGAAAGTATAAGATTTCCAACAGGTATTCCTCCTCTCTGGACAGAGGGTTACAGGATACCTGTATGTACCATTTCACTCTTCCAGCTGCCGTCAAAACCTCAAAAAGCAGCCGATACAAAACTTCTTGCTTCACAAAAAATTGTTTAGCCGTAATTAAAATATTTTCACAGGGACCAGAGAAGTTCCCTTGGAATGAATTGTTGGCAGCACCCATTCAGCAATGGTTTTAAACTTGGTTTTTTTTCCTAATATTTTTCTTTCATAAAAGAGTTATACAGGATGTAAACATTTTGTCAACAGACAGGACAGGGATGTGGAGAAAGCACAGTCAGGAAGGAAGTTGAAGGCTATTTAAAATTCATCTGTATCTATGACAAATTAATGAGAAGGCTGGAAGTTTGTTCTTAAAAACAGAAGAGTTCACTTCAAAGGCTTTTTGAGGATTTTTTTTTTTTTCCCAGAAGAATATGTTCCACTGTTAGCAGCTGCAACTCCTTTTTCCCCTCCACTTTCTGGAATTACAGGCATGCTGTTTGTTCAGAGATAAAGTGAAGAACAATTTAATGCAGACAAAAATTATTTTTTGACTGCTCCACTACTCCTTCTGGAGGGTGACTAGACAGCCAGCTTTACAATACGATTTCAGTCCTCTGTTAAGGAATTGTTTCTTTCTTATTCAGTCTATGGCCATATGCCTTCAGATTTTATTTTCCTGCTATGAGAGCCAACTAGGTTTTTTATTTTAATAATATTTTAGTCTACGCTCCTCCCACAAATTCTCAGAAGTGCCTGTTCCTTTAGACTGGTTGACTCCTGGATCTTAGGAGCAGCTTTCCGATAGTCTACACTGTTGCCTCAGTATGTTGTCTACACATTGCCCCACTGTTTCTCAAGATGTCTGTATGTATCTTCTCACTTGAAATCAATTTTCTTATAATTTCTGGTTTATTTTTAGGTGTTGTAAAAGAGGCTTACTTAGTTTCATGTGACTATCCTCCACAAATTCTAACAAGTTCCCCTTCCTTCCAGGTTCTAGTGCTGCGCTCTCTCACATCTCCTTGAATTCTTTCACCTTCTTTCCCAGAGTAATTCCTTCACACACGCCGAGATAAACATTGATAGATGTGAGATGAATGCAAATGATTTAAGAGTTCTTTTTTTTTCATTCTAAAAATTACATCTATATTAACCATGACATAAAGACTTCTTCAGCTTATTCCATCATCAAGCTTAACATAATAAAAAGCACAGAAGCTTTAGACAGGTTGTAACTATGCTGCTATCACAATAATCACAATTATGAAACAATGTTCTGTACTTCTTGACAAACGATCTCTTAAAATAGTAATTTGTGAATGCAGCTCTACATCAAGACCAGAATGAAGTAATAAACTGAGCTGAAAAAGAATTATCAAATCCACACCAGAAGCCCATTCTGAAAATTAACACTAACACTAACAGTTCACAAGTGATGAAAGGATTGTGTTAATCTACTGCATGATCAAAGAAGAGGATAAAGAGCAGAAAAACTAGCTTTTCTGCCTTTTCTATTAGCTTACTTAAAATAATCAAGACATTGTGTAAGAACTAGAACTCACATATTTATATGGAAATGTGGGATCATTTCAACACTACTACTACCTTTCATGCTCACTTGGACCCCTGGCGGTATTACCACTTTTTGATAACTGAGCACCAACACGTAGAAGAATCAATACTCTTAAGGAAAAAATTACTGAGTTATGAGCGGTGGACAATACCTGTTTAACAATTAATGCTATTAAGGCATATGCAGCAAACCTAAAAATTCACAAGTAAAGCAGTTCACAGTAAAAACTAAAATGAACTAGCATCAACAGTGCTTCATACTCATGAAGTCCTTTGCATTTAAAATTCTCAATTATTTTATTTATTTCTATTTTTTTATGTTTGTGACCCATCTAAATCAAGAGGAGGAAATCAGTGGCACGTTCAAAATCAGGTTTAATTCCATGGATGCCCTGACTTCCTAGTAACAAAAGGAAGTACTAGTATATTACAAAATAAGCATTCCAGACTATTAACCTAATTGGCCAACTTTTTTTCAAGGAAGTCCAGATACAGCTACTATACAGAAATACGCCATTTTGTATCTGGAGTAATGTGTTTCTTAGTTGGAATAGTAGGGCACAAAAACAAAAGGGAAGAGCACCATTCAATTGTGCTCTTCGGCACTTCTTACTATTTGTTTAATATCAGACCAGCAAAGCAAGATGAAATACTCTTACTGTCTTTGGGCACTCTGAATCACGCAATCTGAAAAGCTTTTCCTCTAAACACCTGCTAGGCTTTTACTACTAGGTGTCTTGCAGAAAACAGAATTCCTAACTTTGAATAAATTATTTAACAAATTAAATGAAGAACAGATGTGTGCATCAGATATTCTTAATTAGATCCCTTAGCAAAGAATGAGGCAATCCAGAATTCTAATTTTAAAACCAAACCAGCATTTCACTAAACATCATTTCATCGATATAACCATGTTTCTACATAATTCAGTCACACGTTTTGAAATTAAACAACAAATTGCTTCAACAAAACAAAAGAAGAAGAATCATTTGTCGAATGGAGGAAGGGCTTTCTGATTCAAGGTGTTTTTACCTCACAAAGTAGTAAGTCAATGATGTGGAAGACCATGCACAGTGGAAACTTGGCAGTAAAAAGAGTGAGGAACCACTGGGATGCATACATATGAGCTTCCAAATTGAGGTCTGAGAAATGGCCATACAAGTCTGGTAACTGCTCCTAGGGTAAAGGAAAAAAAATAAAACCTTCAGTATTACTCATTAATCTCTGTTCTTCATCTACACTGCGAGTAAGTACCAGCTTCCTAAACACTGAAAAATACAACAAAGTGAAATCCTGGTTTCTTTTGAGCAATGAAAATACATTTCTTCATAAATTTCAGTGCCCATGGTTACAGGATTTTTTTAGTAAGGTATCCACTGTGGATTCTATCATGGTATCAGATAATATACTGGGATTATGTTGAGAAATTACAAATTGTTTTAACAGTCAAAAGGCACTTGTGAAATCTATGTCATACATAGGGCATATTTTTAAGTTATTCCTTCCCTGTGTCTTTCTATAAATGCTTCTGCTATAAAAAACAAAGGGTACTAGCACAAGATCACACTGCGGAGCTTGAAAGTAACAAAGCACATAACTCCATCAGACAATTTCTCTAACTAGGGCCATATATAAGCAACACAAAATAAATACTGTTAAACCTACTGTAAATAGGTGATATATCCATATTCTGTTAACAAAGTAAAAATCTTTGTTAGTGTATGTAAATATGGAGAAGACCATATGCTGAAGTAACAAATTAATTAGTACATAATTCTACTTCATCAAGTAGGAAATACACACAATTTGACATCTGAAAAAAAAAAATCATTAAATTCATGGTGGTCTGTTTTGTTTGGTTTTACTATCTCTCACAGAAGCAGGTAATGTCATCTATGATAACTGACTTCAGTAGCTAGCTTCCACAATGCTAACAAAAGTGCAGGTCAAAGCTTAATGAACTGTTAGTAACTTGTTATTAGTCAGAATAACAATGTGGAAAACTTGTAGCCGTTTATTTATGTTAAATTGCTCTATGAAATAATTCCTTCTGAAAAAAGAACAATGTACTTAAGACACAGTAAAAATCTACAAAATGACCTACACTTGATTTGTATTTCATAAGCTTCAGGATGTCCTGATTTGCCTGACCTCTGAACCACTGACATAATTTACAAAAAAGTAGGATACTGACAGATGGCAGTCCAAAAGATACTCTGGCCTTAATAGAACAATCAATATCACAATTTAGGAAGAGAGTTAGAAAACAGAGAGGAAGAAAAAACAGATACCCGTTCTGCTTGGATACAAAGATTGCCAGCAAGATTGGTATATGAAAGACAAAACAAATCAGAAATAAATCAGACTCACAAAGTTTGGATCCAGTTATTAAACTTCCCTCTTTTGGTTCTACCCTACCTCTAGAAGGAGAGGGGTTTCATTGTCTAGTAGCTTATGTAAGCAAAGCATTAATGTCTTCTCCATGCCAGTATCTCCATTTCTAAAATTAGAAGAATTTGTTACCCAAGTCCCACCTGCATTAACTTCTCCAGCTGGAAAAACTTGCAATGGAGATCTTCAAAGTTATTTCTGTAGAGGTCCCTCAAGCCATAGTCATACATTATTTTCACAAATACACAGAACGCCTGCTCTTCTGGCATCTGTTTGGAAAAATACACAAACATTGTTTTAAAAACTAAGCTCAGGCTGGAAATGCCTTACACAAATACACATGCTGAAATACCTCACTCATGATGAATTCAGAACCAGGAATATATTATAATTTTTAGCAAAGCACTCAATGTAGATTTAAACAATCAAAATCTCAGAGGGACTGTTCTCCTTGATGAGCACCTTGATGTGGCTCTGCAACATCTTCTCTTAAGAAAATGTGGGAGCATATCATAGGTTCATGTATGTATACATCCCTACAACAGCACAACTGCTATTGGTATTCTTTATGCCAAACAGATATGAGAACAAGTACACAACTCTCAGCAACAGAACAATGAAAAAAAAATATTAAGAAAAAAAAAAAGAAACAAGAAGAACTCAAGATAGTGATTTCCACTGAGACTTGGTTAAAGGGAAAAATTCAGAAGAACTGTGGCAGCCCCAACCCTTACAGAGAATAACACTTATCTACTTTCATCCAAACCCCAGGACATCAAAACTCTCCGAAACCAAGTTTCCCAGAATGAATAGAGAAATTAGATATTTTGGCTTCAGAACCTACTTGAGAACTCAGGAGGGCTGATCCCATCTGTTAACATTGTGACTTTTTCAGAAGCCTTATCTCCTTAATCTCTATTTAATTTTGAATAAAATTTATCATCCAACAGAGTATTAGAAGATGGTTCTAAAAGACAAGCTATGTAAGCCACTTTAAAGTTACATTTGTTGGCTTGAGCCTACTGAACACTGCATTTGTAGGAAGCCTTGTGTCATGAAATCTCCACTTAAAATGTCTCCACTTCCCCCATACCTTCAGGTAACACAGCAATAGGGAACAAGCAGAGTCACTGCAGACCCCAGATCAGGTTTTCAATCACATTAAAAACAACCTTTCTTTTGCAGGCACCAGATTGTAACAAATGAAAACAATTATTAAGTATAAAGAATGACAACTCTAGACCTTTTAGTATATTCACTCATTCAGCCTTTTGCCAGCCCCTTATCAAATATCAGCAACAGATAAAAGCTCAGTATTTCCTTCAAAGAGAATTTTAATCTCTTGATATTTACCTCCAGGGTTTCATCTCTTATGTTCAGCCTATGATTATGACCTCTCTCCAAGGCTATGGGCAAACACTTTCATTTTGACTTTCAGATATCATAAATAGAAGTAACTACCTAGCATAAAGAACTGTCAGATCAGCTGCTAGCTACCCATCTAAACTAGGTTTGCCTAGGACAAGCACTTAGGAATCTCAAAGCTCTTTATCACAATTTTAGCTGCATGGAATGTTCCCCACTGACAGCAGATAAAAGCTGCAGACAAAGCAAAAAGAATAAATGGTTTTATCCTGACCAAAAAGACCGCATCTACACTAACAGTAAGATGAATGCAAATTTCAGGTTTTTTAGCAAAATAACTATTATTTCGAATAAAATGACAGTTGCTCATGCACAAGCACACCTACCTTACATGCTCAATCAGACACTCGTGCATTGATAACCATTCCTTCCCCAGGACAGGGAAAAGGAGTAGGAACAGAGGTTAGTACTAGGCTAAAATCATTTACAAGCAGAGACGACCGAGTCCTCACTCTCAGTGATAGAGGTTCTCCAATATTACCAACCCCAAGAATTCAAAACCGTAACTCAGGTTTTAATTTCTTATTTTATTTAAGCAAAACACATTATTTTGGGCATATCCATTCTGATTTGTAACATTTAAATATTTGCTTCTTATTGTCTTTTCTCTGGATTCATAAAAGCCAGAAACTTACCTTTTTTTTAAATTTAATTTTAGCTTTTCACACTGCAATCGCAGAATAGTTTGGGGTGGAAGGGACCTTCAAAGGTCATCTAGTCCAACCCTCTTGCCATGACTAGGGACATCCTGAACTAGATCAGACTGAGTTTTTGCAATGACTCCAAACAGTAGACAACAAGGGAAAAAAAAGAAGTCAAATACTGTGAGACTTAGAGAAAAATAATTAAGAGTTGGCAACACTGTCCCCTTGTGATTAGAAGTTACCTGCTGACCTTGGACTAGAATTTCATCAAAGCAGCAAAATCACAAAAATCCAGGATGGAGGTTCAGGCTACCCAACCATCCCTGAAAGATAACTACACTGAAAAGAAAGGATAAACTGTCCCAGAAAAAAAGGGGAAAGGAATGAGTCTAGACAGCCATGCAAATATAGAAGAGTTAAGAGAGTTTTGCAAGCATTCACAGCATACACACTGGTTGGAGAATTTGAGAAAAACAAGAGTTTGAGGACATCCTGGGAAGCTCCCAACTTACATGTGCTCATTGAGACTGCTCCCCTTCCCCCCTTTCTCTGATAATTTCAGTTTAATATCCTATTATGAAAGCAAATGTTATAAAGGGCATATTAAAAAGAGTGTAATTGTCATTTACACTTTTAAGTGTACAGGGCAATCTTTTCTAACTCCAGAAACATCAGAAACAGAGGTGATTCTCTATAACAATGACAGAATACAACTGAAAGTAGCTGAAGTATTAGTCAAATGTTAAGAATGTGACACCCACTCACTTCTAAATGACACTGGTATTGAAAATGGCTTATTCTTCCAGTGCAATTTAAAAATGCTTCCTTGGGTAAAAAGTTAATTGCAAAATAACTGATAAACTAATTCGCAGTCTATCTGGAATTGTAATAATGTGACTAATTCAGGTTTATCCTTAAAGAATCTAAAGCTTCTCTGTAACACTGCCACTGTGTATCGTGCTCCTTAAGTCTTCAAGCAGTCATACAACTCACTAGGAATTACAATTTAAATTAATCTGAATTTGAGTTCTCAGTGCCTTAGGAAGTGTACGTGTAACATATACACCACCAACAGCTGGCTCAAAACCATAATCTGAAATTTATTTGAGCCATGAATAATAATTTATTTATTAAAGCCTGACAGAAAAAGCAGGTAAGAGCCTGAGTAAGAGTAAGCCTGATACACGCACTACTTGAATCTGCTGCCTTTCCACTGTTACATCAAAGTTAAAGCATCTTGCAAATATAAAAATTGTGTATTTATCTATACATACATGCAACTGTATATATAGCAAGCAGCAGATCAAAGTTTGTACAGTTTTTGGTTACAGGCTAAAATATCAAGGTTAAAACTCAGCTTTCATTCAAAAGGTATTATAAAATGTGCCTAGAAGAAAGCTGTCACTGAAAATTAATGAGACTGCTTGCTCTGGTTAGTGACTCTGAAAATATCTCCCAAAGTTAAATTCCCCATAAACACAAAGGGAGTTCACCTATGTGACAACTAAATTAAAATATTAATATGTAACAGATCAGTTTCACGTTTTGACACAGAAGTACTTGACAATTTAATGGATTTATCCTAGATAAAGGAAATCTACATTCGTCAAGATAGAAGCCATTAGTCATTACTTGCCAAAAAGCTACAAGAGGAAAATGAATACAGACAAATAAACAACAGTAAATATCTGTCAAATAGCATGTTACAGTACTACTTATTTCAAAGCTCCTTTGGTTTCAAACATCAAAGCTTTCATTTTGCAATTAACTCACATGAAGTAGAAGCACAGCTGCAAGGAAAGACTGTCCCTGGCAATAGCCAATGTCTTCATCATAAACAGAGTATGCCTAGAAAAAATAGAAGTCAATATATATTTAAAATACACACAGGCATTATCAAAACGTGTTATAATCAATGAACTATTCAGAATATGTAATACTATGCAGGCTAAAATAATAAAGAGAGTGAAACTGTAACCAGCTTTGCTTTGGCTTTCAGGGAATTTGAGGAAACACAGGTCACCCCCAATCTTCCATAGCTGCCATATATGTAAATATGTTTATATTTTTAACAGCATGAAAGGAGTTGGATGCAATTTCCTTCCACCTAAATCAAGGATAATTCTGCTGAGTTGTGTATCGATACAGCTTTAATGATATAAGAAATACGAACTAAAATCCATGTGAGTTTGTATTGTGGGGAGCATGCCTGTTTGGTTTTGGAAAAACAAATTCTGACATCATGAAAGTATAGGACCTGAGGTTGTCAGATAACCACCAAGAACTACTCTAGCCTGCAAATTTTAACAGAAACTGTTTTTCCATGTCCTTGTTATGTTGAAGAAAGAACAAGATTCATTTTCCTACAGTAGGACTGACATAATTCTATTTTTTTTTTTAATTCTTAAAAAAAAAAAAAAAGAAAAAGAAAAACCAAACCTAAATTAACCAACCTTTCCTTCCCCCTTTTCTGAGACATGAAGACAGATACTGTTTTGAACGAGATGTCAGAGGATGTTAAGAATTTGAGGAAACTTGAATAAGTATAAGCAGCAGGACTGACATCCTGAGAGAATAAGCAATGGACTAGTGTTACAGCCAGGGAAAACAAAAGGACACGGGCAGAGTTATATGGAAGAACAAGCAATATGAACCAGAAAATCTACCCTGCCCTCACAGCACCTCCAAGACTATTTACAGATAAGAACTGGAACACCGCGCTTATATTCTTTTTTAAAGTCTCGAATAAAATCAAGATTGCAAATTCACTGAAAGAAAGCACAGAGAGACTGTGAATAAACAATGTCAGGTATGCTGGGGAGCCAAACCCACCTGGCTATCGTATGATATTGAAAAACTGGCTAAGCTTCCTCTTCAAAAATTAAGAATTGGGACTCTAAAAGAGATGCAATTCCTTTCCAGCCAACAGAATTAACATACTTGCAAATAATTTCTGCCAGAAATGTTTTGAATTATTGAAACCACCTTTCTCTTTTAATGTGACATGAAAAAAATAAAACATTCATACAGAATTCTGCAATGATTCCCAAAAATGAGATTTCTGTAAAGAATATAATCTAGGTATTCCTTGAAAACTGTTTATAAACAAGTCATCCATACATGTCCTAATACATTTGTAGCTTTGTGAAAACTAACTATGGCTTACAGGTCTTTGTCATTTTCCATATTCTTCACCATTCTTTTGAATCAGATGGGATTAGGGAGAATCTGATTGAAAATAATCCCAAATCCATTGCTCAGTTTTAATAGTCCAGGAAATACAAAATGACTAATCCCATAAATTACTGAAAAAGAAATAATAAAAATTGAAAGAACCATTACAGCTCGGTTCAGGTTGGGGGCCTCCAATGTAAGAAGGATATGGACCTGTTGGAGCAAAGTGCAGAGGAGGGCCATGAAGATAATCAGAGAGCTGGAGCACATTTCCTATGGAGACAAGCTGAGAGAGTTGAGGTTGTTCATTCTGGAGAAGAGAACGATCTGGGGAGACCTTAAAGCAGTCTTCTAAGTACCTAAAGGGGGCCTACAAGAAAGCTGGAGAGGGACTTATTACAAGCACATGTAGTGACAGGATAAGGGGGAATGGCTTTAAACTGAAAGAAGGCAGAATCAGCTTAGATATTGGGAAAAAAATTCTTCACTGTGAGTGTGGTGAGACACTGGCACACGTTGCCCAGAGAAGCTGTGGCTGCCCTATCCCTGGCAGTGTTTAAGACCAAACTGAATGGGGCTTTGAGCAACCTGGTCTAGTGGAAGTTGTCCCTGCCTGTGGCAAAGGGATCAGAACTAGATGATCTTTAAAGTCCCTTACAACACAACCTATGATTCTATGATTATAGTCTACTTACTAGTTTAAACCAGCTCTAGCTACAAAAATAAAATATAAAAAGTAAATCCAGAAATGTACATTAGCAGATACAAAACTTTGAATTGAAAAAAAGAAAAAAAGGGGTGCACTCCTGGAAAAAGTTAATTTAAAATTAATCTTTAGCTACTAAGCCCTGAAATAACAGAAAATACTTTCAACACTTAAATCAATATTGCATATGGCCAATTAGAACCATCCACTGGTTAATTATTATCATCATGAGTCTTTACCTCCTTGTTCCCAAAATCTATTACTTTATGGATGCCTAGCATTTTATTTCTACAGCATTCCTGAAAAATGTATTACTCTGGCTTTTGAAAGGAGAGCTCTATTGGAAAAAGATATGCAGCATTATAAGTAATGAATTTGACTTATGATTTCTTCATGATATATAACAACACTTTTACTTTACATACAAAAAAATAATAATAATCCAGGCTAAAAAATGTATAGTAAATTATGAAAACGTGAGAAACATTATTAGCACAGTAACTTAACAATTTGCTGAAAACTGCAATAAATTAACCCAAACAAGTTTCAAAATAACTATTGAGAAAACAACACACTGGAACAAACTGCCTCAAAAAATACAGAAAGTTATCAGAAATAAGATGATACTCCTTTTGAGATTGTGAAAGATGTCAAAACAATGGCAGAAGAGGGAAAATTATGAGCGTGCAAGAAAATCCTCACTCTGCATGTTAAATACAAAATTATGAAGGAAGACCAAGAACTGTTCTCATAATCAATTTCCTAAACACATTAAACCTAGTAATCAATCTGTTTGAAACACATCCAGAGCAGGAAGACAAAGCCTCTACTAGGAAAATACATGATCAAGGTAGAAAAGTTGTATTTAAACTATAGCAGAAAATCCATGTGAACTTTCTTTGTGTCTCTTTTATTACAGAAGAATCACAGGGGTTGTTATCCTGCTCAGACCATTTTTAAGACGGGATGTGTTCAACGATCTGTGAGTATCAGAAGAGGTGTTTAATTAAAAGTAATAAAAATACTAAAAATTTATTAAGAACAGCAGTGTTCACCCCAAAAGGCGGGGGGGGGGGGGGGAAGGGGGCTTCTGGAAGTAAACAGGTAAATCATTCAAGATGAATAACTTGAAATATTTGTAAAAAGAGGTGATCCACAGAACTACAAGTCAGTACGTACTTGGTAATACTTTTTTTTCCTTAAAAAAAACATTCAAATTGATTAGTGCACACAGATATACATAGAATAAATCAAGAGAAAAATGTTCAGTAAAACGATGGCATTGCTAAGAAATCTTTGAAGCAATCAAAAACCATGGAAAAAAAAATATTAACTGCTCGATCTGCTTGCTCTTCAAAATTATTTTCCACTAGGTCCTTCCCCAAAATCTGATCTTCACAAGCAGCTGTTATCAGATATTTGGATACTACTTCAGTTCTGCATGAGAATTAGATCAAACAGAAAGATTCTGTTGTTAAGTCAAAGCATTGTAATCCTGGCAACTAAAGATTTTATATTTTAATGAAGTCTCTAAAATCTACATGATTTCATTGTATTTGCCCAAAGCAAAGAAATTTCTGAGGCTCTATGCATATTACATTTCTAATTATACTTTTTTAGATACTTTTTTAGTTTTAAGTAACCTCTGGGACAATATTTCTGAAATACGATGTCATTAACCAAAAAAGCCTCAAAACTAAGCATGTTGCCTACAGATACCACCATAATATATTATTAACAAAAGATCTAAGATTAATTATTTAACATTCATCCTTTTAAGGGACTTTGTCTTTCCACATGAAATACCAAAAAAAAAAAAAAAAAAAAAAAAAAAAAAGAAGCAAAATCCCAAATCCCTTATTTCCACTGCAGTCACTGTAACTTTGTAATTTCAAGAGAATGGGATTTTCCTCATGACAACGTGTGACAATGTTGCAGTGGTTTAAGTTATTATTTTCTTAAGCTCTTAGAGAATTTTCAATCACAATTCTCTAGTTAATTGAGATTTTAAATATTCTCTGTCTCATAAATGGGACTTAATGAAGATTCTGACTTGAAGCCTGATTTCATTCATTTTAACTAAGTGAGCATCTCACAGAATAAAACATCTATGTAATGTTTATCTGTCTTTTGAAGAGAAGAACTACTATGCAGTTATTTGTACAACATCATTAGAAAGTGAATAATAATGAGTCTCTTCAAATAAAGCTGATGATAGAGAATCGCCTGCTGGGAAAGTGCATGAAGAATCCAGAAATGCACAGAAATTCTTCTTTAAAGTAATTAATGAAGGAAAATCTCCAAGATCAGAATCTTCTGTAGACAGAAAAATTCCAAGTAGCAACTAAAGACAAATGGAAAGTTTGCTGATTTGAATTTAGAACCTCGCATTTTTGTTTTCTGCAACTACTGTGTATGAGTCCCAGCAGCTTTAAAAAAGGAAGAGAATATGTTTGAAATTCCAGACTGAAATCTTCTTCATGATTTTGCATCCTCATAAGCATGAAAATTATTGCTTTTACTTATGGAAAATTCTAATGTACTTAAAACAACAAAATGCAAAACACTAACTAGCAAATAAAAGCTTACAATCACATTGTCCATTTTCCTTAATCGTAGTGACCCAATGACACTGGAAACTAAACAAATACAACAGAAAACAAAGAGAGCTCATAAAAAAAAATTCTGTAGTGTCTGCCTCATACAAAGGTCTTACACTCCCTGAGCTTACATTCCTCCACATACACTTTGCAGCAATGCAGAGGGAAGAGCAGAGGCTCTACAGATCTCCACCTCTCATCTGCAATAACAGTATCTCTCTTGTCAGTAATGTTTCCTGGCACAGGAAATGCTCCCTTCTTTGCAACAGGCACAGTGGCACAATACTTGTTAACAGCCATAGGAGATACCCAGCATCTGTGTCCCAGGAAAAAGGAAAATGTAACAGAAGTTGAATGCAAGGTTTTTA